TGAGGGACCCAACTGGTGACCACGCACCAAGATGATTGGCTTCCGTCAACTACCACCCTCTGGGTCCTACTGCAGAACCAGTTCCCCAGCCAGCAGAACATGGTGAGGTCAAGGCCACAGTTAGTCAGTTTTGCCAAGAGGTGATCATGGGATACCAGATTGAAGGCTTTTTTAAAGTCAAGATATATGGCATCAATCTCTTCCCCCTTGTCCAGGTGATAGGTCACCTGGTCGTAAAAGGAAATGAGATTGGTCAAGCAACAAACTACCCGCAACAAACCCATTCTGCGTATCTCTCAGGATATTGCTGTCAGCTAGTCTGTTAAGGATGGCCTCTTTGATAATCTTTTCCAAGACCCTGCCCAGGATAAAGGTCAGGCTGATGGGCCTGTAGTTTGCCGGATCTACTTTCCTCCCTTTCTTGAAGATTGGCATGACATTGGCCTTCTTCCAATCTTCAGGCACTTCACCAGAGCACCAGAAGTTCTCAAAGATCCGTGCCAGGAGCTGACCTATGATGCTTGCCAGCTCCTTGAGTACCCTTGGGTGTAAACAGTCAGGTCTGGCTGACTTGAAGGTATCCAACTTGTCAAGGTGTTCCTTCACAAGGTCAGCTTTGATGAAGGGTAAGGAATCTTCCTCACCCAGGCCTCCCTGACCCACAGTGGGCAGGGGCATCCCATGGGACTGATGAAAGTCTGATGCAAAGTACCCATTTAGCAAGTTTGCTTTTTCATGGGCATCAGTTGTCAGTTGTCCCATCTGGTTTAGCAGGGGTCCAATGTTGCCCTTGCTTTTCCTCTGGCTCCCCACATATCTAAAAAAGTACTTTTTATTGTCCTTGAAATTTGTAGCTAACTGGAGTTCCATTGCAGCCTTGGCTTTCCTGTTTTGCTCTCTGCAGGTCTGGACCAGAGCAGAGTATTCCTCCTTGGTGGTGGTTCCAGTCCTCCATCCTTTGTAGGTCTTCCTTTTAAGATGCAGGAGGTCCCCAGTTCCCTGGAGAGCCAAGGGGGCTGCTGTGCTCCTTCAAGATGGGATGGACTTCACCTGTGCATCCAGGATTGCTCCCTTGAGGAGCAACCACTCGTCCTGAACTCCCTTTTGGGTTGTGGCCCTTTAGGGCCTCACCGACAAGCCTCCTTAGCTTGTCAAAGTCGGCTTTCCTGAAGTCAAGGACTTCTGTATTACTAACTGACTTGCCAGCTTTACGGCAGATGGTGAAGGTGATCAGCTCATGGTCACTATCACCCAGCTTCCCTTTGATTGTTAGGTCGCTGATTAAGTCGTTCCCAGTTGCCAGTAGAAGCAGGCAGGGCGCATTCCAAGGCCTGAAGTCTGTAACAGGTATTGTTTTGCCAGCTACCTGCTTCCTGTGTGCTATGCTTGCAGTGGGAAGTGTACAGTGGGCTTGTGCACTTTCAAGAGCTGCAATAAATAACAGGGGGACACATGAGGAATTCTGACTCTAAAGGACTGCTGCAGCTACAGCCACCTCTAATTTACAGCTGCAAGCAAAAATCACAGTCCAGTCCAGTAAGAGAAGTGCATAAAGTTCACATTGCAAAATATTGCATGCTTTGAAATGAAGGGTATCAATTTAACCCTAATTTATGTGTTGGTGCCCAGCCTATGCTAAACCTACAAACATCCAAAATTAAAATAAAAGGTCCTTTTTGATTATAGGACATGCAACCTTGCCAAGTGTAAGGTAGTTCAGGCTATCCACTTCTAAGGAAATAGGAGAGAGAGAAAAAAAGTATGCATCGCTTTTAGCACACATCTAATGCCTTTTGGTCATGTGTTAGCTACAAAATGGCTTACTAAAGATACTTCAGTTGTGGTTAGTTTAAAAACATGCATTACCTGCTTCTTCACTAGAAGTATATGAAACACTGAAGCCTCTAGTTGAACTGGATGCATCAGTGACCAAAACTACTTTCATTGTATTTCCTGAGGATTTCAATTGAGTACCCAGATTTCCATCCCCACACAGTTTGGCTAGTCTGGGAGAATTTCGTCTGAGGCCATTATAAACCTGTTGATTAAAAAGGCATTTTTAGGACAGGGGAACATAACAGTTACTATGGAGTAACTTATCCAGGATTTTAGTCCTTAATACATTTATTATCTAGCTAGCTTCCTGTACTAGGTGCAAGGCCACTAGGTGGGAACGGAGCTGGCTTGCACTAGATTTCATAGATTTCATAGACATTTGGGCTGGAAGGGACCCCGGAGGATCATTGAGTCCAGCTCCCTGCCCCAGGAAGCCAGCAGGGATCATAGGATCCCAGCAAGATAAGCATCCAAATGTGTCTTGAAGGCATTCAAAGTGGGTGCTTGAACCGCCTTCGGCAGCAGTCTATTCCAAAACTTGGGGGCTCAGACAGTGAAGAAGTTCTTTCTTATGTCCAGCCTGAATCTGTCGTGGAGGAGTTTGTGACCGTTCAGTCTTGTCATCCCTTGGGGCACTCTGGTGAACAGACATTCCCCCAGATTCTGATGAGCATCCCTGATAAATTTATAGGTGGCCGCCAGATCAACCCTGAGCCTGCGCTTTTCCAGGCTGAAGAGCCCCATGGCTCTCAGCCTCTCATCACTAAGGAAAGACTATCCCAGGATGAAGCGACAAGAGGAGCAGAAATGCAGCTCACTACCTAGTGCAAGTGTAAGGCTGTGTATTATCTGTCTCTTCTACTTCTAATACAGTGTAAAGTCATTAGGAGCTGTAACGTGAATGTCATGTGCCCACATCCACCCTTAGGAACTCAAAACTTCATAGGTTAATTTTGACTGACATATTTAGCACAAAACTGAGACATTTTGCTGAAGATCCAAAATCTCAAGTATATGGAATAACTTCTGTTGACTTGAATTGGTCAAACTGTAGGTGAAAATATTAGAAGTACAGCATTTTTTCCTAAGAATTTTTTGGGATTGTTGTAAAAAAAATAACTGAAATTGTCTTTGGATGTTGTTTTTTTTCATAAGAACCCTAAAGCTTTCAAGGAAAACACATTATTTTGTGAAAAAATATGCCAGTTTTGTCAAGAAGCTGTTGAAACGTTTTTTTTTGGTGGACTATATTTTGGATCAGCTAAAACATTTAGCTTTTTGATGATACATCTGTATTTTTGTATGGCTTTCTTCAAACAGTCTGTATCTTGGCAGTTAAATACTACCACTGCAGCATTGCTTTCTTCTGCTTCTGCTTTAATTTCAGAAGTAGTGTCAGGGAAAATATTTTTTTAGCCGAGATCTGGAATGGACTGAAGAGTTGATGGCACACAGGGGTACAGGGAAGTTCTTCCTTTCAGAATTACGTAATTTGCTAGTTGACAGAAGGCCAAATTGCATGCTCTATCTAAAGCATCAGCAGGGAAATTAGTGTGTGGCAGGGAACAACACTGACATGTCTAGGGAACAGCTACTAACTCCTCTCTCACATAAGTGGGCAGGCAAGCAGAGCTTGCCTGTGCTCCCCACCCACATGCTGGACAGCACGTAATTCAGCTGCTCTAGGAAATTTTTCATGAGGGACTTGATTTGTCTATGTATAGTGTAATAATTATTCTTTGTACTATACAAATAGCTTCAGCAATATTTTAATATTATGTTCAGAATTTTTGTTGTACATATTATCATCTTCTGTTTAATCTGGTAAATAAAGCTTCAATGTTACCAAAACTTGAGCATATGAACACAATCAATGCTTCGTATGCTATGAAAATCTGAGGACCTGCAGGTGTTGGACAGACCTGGAGTGGAATATATCCCTGAGGATGAAGGCGTGGATCCCTCATCCTCTAGAAGTTCTGAAATGAGCTAGAACGCACTTGTCACCCTGCTGCCTCTCCTTGTTAATTGAAATCTTTACCTGGGCTTTTGGAACCTCTTGCCCTTTGGACTATTCCACCTTCCCTTTCTGTAGCTGTTCTAATTTAGCCATCTTACTTAAGATGCTTCAGCTCTGGCCAGTTTTCTTTTTTGGGTTAGGAAAATATTTTTCTCATTGGAACCAGTCTGGAAGACACCAATAAATGTTCTTTGCTTTCTTTGAAGCATCTAAGAGATACAATTCAGTTAAAAGGAGGAGGATTCATATCTGCCTCATTGTTCATTTTGGGGCCAGGAAGGAATGCATCTCTCTGATGTAAACTGACAGAACCTGATGGGATTTTTGTTTTGCTGGCAACATCTGGGAGGAGCAATTCGAGTAAAAGGAGTGGAAATAGTAAGTTAGTGTTAGGAATCTGTAGGAATGTTTTATTTATCACAATTTACTGCCACTATCCAGGATTTTTAAAGACTAAAAGGGCCAACTCCTTGAAGGAAAAGAAACTTGGGATTTTGCTGGTGAACTTGATGTCTGTGGAAGAATGGGAGTCCTGAAGTCTTCAGACACTGCAGTCTGCACTTTTTTACCCTCTATCCTCCATGTGGAGGGGGAGCTGGGGGAGGGGAGAGAGAAGATTCATACAGATAAGTTGAATCTACATGGAGAAGATCTACACTGAGTTACAGGTGGGGGCCTGTGAATACCACTGGTGTTAATGGAACTCTTCAGATGTTTAAAAGAATGCACTTGCTCAAGTACCTTTCTGAATGTGTACCATAGAGAGGTTAGTTTTGGTTCATTCTTTCACCACTTCAGTTCTTGTGGGGTGAGAAGAGCATCTGGGTTACAATTTGTAATAGCAATGGATGTAAAAATTGAAAGGTAACTGCAACCTTCCATATGTGTTAATTCAGTTAAGTATTTTGAAGCATGTTTCCCTACTATTTCTTCCTAACACTTACAGCCATATAATCTGATCTGCATCCCAGCTGGTCTTCAATCCTCATATCATCAATGGTGAGAGTGACCCGTCGTCTTTCCTGTACAGTGATCCTCCATTCACACACTCGGTTGTGTGGGTACGGGCTTGGATAGTTGGGAGAAGTGAATGTCCCGACAGGTGCACTGAGATCCCCTCCGCACTCTGAAACAGCACAAATATTAGCAAACCTCTTAAAGTGTGTCAGTGTTTGCAAAATGCTTTCTGCAAGATATGTATTAAATAAAAGCATGCAATTGATACAAGAAAAAGAACTGATGACTTGAAATTTTGTTTTTATATGCTATACCCTCTCATACATGTCTGTCAAAATAGAGAAGCTTAATATTTCTGGTAGATCAATTCCAATGAGTTATAAAATATCTATTACAAGAGAATATTCATTTACCATAGTAACTATTGCCAAATAACTATTGTTTACTTCTCTTGAGTCTTCAACCTAGATGACTATGTTCCTGAACAGCCTCAAGAGATATGGGTAGTTCACTGTGATAGGCTAAAGGAACAGGCTGAAAAGGGGCTGTAGGAACCTGCCTCTCATGTGGCTGGCAAGATATCTACCAAAAAAGGAAGCAGAGTCCAGAGTGGGTTACCAGGGAAGGGTGTAGTCTCTTCCCCTGGCTGGTGAGGCAGAGAAACATCTCGGGATTGCAAGCACTATGTTCTAGTTGAAATTTTATTTTGCTTTGGGTATGTCCTTTGTTATAAACAATAAATTGTGCCTTGAGGGAAGGGCCTTAAAATGACTGGGACACAGAGTTCACTTCCCTTCTCTGGCTGGGGAAAAAGCCTACCAACCTACGCTTTTTTAAAATAGGAATGTGTAGTTTAATGGAACACAAAAGGAGTGCTATTTTCACTCCTCTTCTTACTGCCATGTACTCCTATGAAAGGTGAGTTAATCTGTGTATCTATTTCCACTTAATTGTTTGATGATACAGCTGTGTTTTAGATGGCTTATGTTATGTAGATGACTTTCAAAACACAGGAGGGGAAATAATACAGCTTTGGCATTAACTTCCTTCTCCTACCTCCTTAGAGGCCTAGGTAACAGACAAAAGATGTCTTTAGTAGGCCTGTGCGAATAGGGAGGTATTCAATTCAGATTTGGATTCAGACAATTTGGAGGACAGTGATTGGATTTGGAGATTTGGAACGCTGTCCTGAATTGATTCGGCCAAATAGCTTCGGAAGATTCAGCGCTGATTTGGAGAGATTTGATGATTTGGATCAGCCAGGGAGAGGAAAGCACAGCCAGGCGGCTGCAGGGGGGAGCCACAGGAGAAGCACCCATGGCTGCCCTGCCTGGCCTCATCCCCCGCCCTGCCCCAGCCTAGTCCTGGCACGTTGAAAAAAATAAGTGCCCCGCACTCACTGGCTGCAGGAGCAGCGATTGGGGCCTCTAGGCGCTCATGGCAGAGCCCTCCCATGTGCTGCCTGGGAGCTGGGGCCACTGGGGCTGAGCAGTGCCAGGCTCCAGGTGACTCCTGGAGTTGCCCCAGCTCCCAGGCAGTGCACAGCACCCTGCCAAGCCATGCTGTACCCATGCCATGGGACAGCTGCCGCATAGGTGCTAGGCGGGGGGTGGGGGGCGATCCTTGCTGCCCCCCACTGCATGGGGGGCCTCTGCCATGAGCACCCAGAGGCCCCAATTGCCGCTCCTGCAGCCAGTGATTGCAGAGCTTCAAAAAAAGCCCTGCGCTAACCAACTACAGGAGCAGCACAGATGCAGCGCATCTCAGCAGGGTGCTGTGCACTGTCTGGGAGCTGGGGCCACTGGGGCTGAGTGCTGCCAGGCTCTGGCTGACATGTGGAGCCGCCCCAGCTCCCAGGCAACGGGCTCTGCTCTGCTGCTGCTTGCCCACCTGGGGTGGGGGATTGGGGGGGCATGATGCAGGCATGGCTCACTCTGGGTAGCAGCAGGGCATAGCCCCCACTCCCACCTACTGCCATACCCACATCAGTGCTGGGAAGCTTCGCACAGCCCTAGTATTCAGCTGAGATCTGAAATGAATCTTACATAGGGAATGGAGACTATTTCAGATGACATGCTCCAGGAAAGACTCCCATACATCTAGGGTGCATATACATGTGCTCATTTGCATTTTAGAATGTGTTGGAGCAGACTTGATTAATTAAGTCTGCTCCACGTTCTAATGAAAATGCTTTAGCGCCACCTTGTCGCATCTATTAAGCCTCCGTGCATTTTAAAATGGCCACCAGGGAACTTCAGCTAAAATTCAGCCAATAAGGTTTAGCTAAAGAATCCTGTAGCCATTTTTAAATATGCAGGGGCTTCACAGATGTGACCCTGAGGTTTTTTAATTAGAGTAGCTCTCCAGGAACTGTTTTCATTAAAATGCACCCTCCCCACCCCTGAGCACATGTATAGGCTGCCCTGGTGACCACATTTTGAGGGGACATACAGAGATCTAGTCCTAGAGAAGGTGAAGAACATGACACTGGACAGGGGAGGGTGAACAAGCTGCTGATTGTGGGGGAATGGTTTGAAGACAGAGACCAGGGGAACAGCTTTGGCAGTTCAGAAGCAGAGTAGACTGGAAAGGTAACAGCTGAGTAACTTTGGGGATTTTCACGGTTGTGCAAGCCAGCCTGGGGACAGAAGGACTGCTTAATCCTTTGAAGGGGACAGTGAACCTCTGGGTGGCTTTGCCCCAGTAAATCCTTTTGTCAAAGAGCAGCTGTCTGTTTTGCTTCTTGGATCTTTGGGGCTGCACTTGCCCTCCCCAACAAGAAAGCAGAACTGAGTGCTAACTTCTTGAGTCAGGGCCACAGAACAACCACAGAGGGTTGGGGACTGAAAGGCCAAAGCATTCAGGTGGGAAGGAGCCAAGGCTCACCCCCTGCTCCACTCTCAAAGCCAGACCTGGGCTGACTTCAGGGGCCACAGTGGTCTGAAGCAAGCCCTGCCATCTAAGCAGAATTATAGGACACTAACAGACTCCACAAATTTTTGAAAAAATCATTAAATAAAATGCTCCTTTTTGTTCTTGGGGAGATGCCCCTCTTTCAATTAAGTGTTACCAAATGTCAAAGCAGAATGCTATCAACAGATCTTATGCTAGTCATCTTCTGCAAAGTATTGCCAAATTATGAATCAGGTCCCCAAAACTCAAGGGACTGGCTTAAAATTGTTCAGATTCTTAAGAAATTAGGATTCTTTACATTTGCCTTTGGATTCTTAACCTTTGTAGTTCATGTTTTCAAGATTTTCATAGGAACCACAAAGGCTGCTTTTTAAAAAAAGTGTATCCTGTATCTGTGCAGGTATTAGGATTAGCTGATCCTTGAGGTTCTTTTCAACCCTCTGATTCCACCAAAAATAAATGAGAATGATGAATCACATAATCATAGAATAATTTCTGAATACCACCAAATATTGTGAAAGAGACAATAAAATTAAGAGAATTGGCAGCACTGCCCCACATCCCAGTGTAAAAGAAAGCAGAGTATTTGACAGGCATCCTAGGAGTGGGACATGGGCAGAAAGGAGGTGTGACAGAGTGGAACTTTGGTAAACCAGATCTCCTGTTTGGTATATGGTCCAATACAATGAATCTTCACAGTGAAGTCCATTATAAAGAAGATAACATTGGCTGCCTGCAAACTCAACCTCTGCCCAGTGGTCCAAAAATCAGACAGCTCCAGTCATACATAAATAAGATTCAAAGGGCAAAATATATACACAGTTTTGAAACATAAATTAATTGAAAGACCAATTGTACTGATAATTTTGGAACATATGTGTAGCCACACAGCACGTGTATAGAGAGCCTTTGATGCGCTCTAATTAGAACACATTGGAGCAGACGTGATAAATCGAGTCTGCTCCACGTTCTAATTAGAATACTTTAGCATCATCATAATGTCATGTGTATTAAGCTTCCCTGTGTTTTGAAAGGCTGTGGAGGTGCTTTAACTAAAGCTTCTCGAATGAGCTTTAGTTAAAGTGTCCCACAACCATTTTTAAATGTGTGGGGGCTTAATACACGTGATGCTGCAGCATTTGAATTAGAGCAGCTCTCTGGGAACTGCTCTAATTAAAGCACCCCCATCCCTGAGCTTGTCTATAGGCAGCCTTAGGCTGTTTCACTTATGATAAGTTGCAAGTTTATAAATCCAACCTTCAATGCTAGCATCAAAACGCAACCTGAATCCTGGGGCGTTGACAAATCCATCTGTGACGAATCTGATGTAAGCAAAACTGTCAGAGGTGTCCACTGCATCAGGAACAGTAGTACCACAATATCTGGCCAATAAATTCCCTAGGAATATAGAAATAATTAGCAAAGCAATCAGGATGACTTGTATTAAAAAGTCTAATAAAGTGTCACCTTTGAGCTTAAACTATTGGGCAGGAACAGAAAAAAAAAAAGAAAACGCAGTCCCTGGGAAGCCACTAGAAGGCATTTTGCTAGCCTTATTTTACTTCAGTAACTAATATAACTGTTCCAGCAATAAGGAAAGCATGTAGCAGTACAAGTGGTTCATCCAAAATATCTGTATTATACACAAAGTTCTACTCAATTTGTGATTCTGCAGATTTTTAGGAAAATGCAAAATATGGGATTGTTCATGAAATGAACTTAAAAAATAAAGACTTAATAAAAATAAAATGCTGGCTCCCCAGTGGGAACCAGTGGTCCTGCTACTGCTTTGGCCTGGCCTCACAGCCCACCTGGGTGGGGGAAGGCACTGGCTGGCAGAGTGACACAATGGGCAGCAGTTACCTTGCCAAAGGCTGCTCTGCCTGGCTGTAGCTACACATGATGGCAGCTGCCCCCTTGTCCCTCCTCCCCTCCCACCAGGACATAGGTACCTACCTTAATGGATTGTTTTTATTAAGGTAAGTATAAATTAGTATTTCTAAACTTTTTGTACAAATCTACATATAATTTACTTTGTTGTATATTGTGTATGAGCACATCCAGAAAATCCAGAAAATATCCATAGAATTTGCTATATATACCATGACCAACCCAGGAAAATAGTTTCATTTCTCGGTGATTTAAGTACACCCCTAATTACTCATAACTTCATGCAGGTTTAGCAGCTTTCTAATCTGAGGTGCCCATCTGGCATTAGGGAAACAAAGACAATCACTGACCAGAAGCATTATACTCTCGGATCTCCACAAAGTCATTTGCACACCCAGGAGAATTCTGAATGTTTAGTTCTTCTAGACTAATGGTCAGATAATGCCCTCTAGGTCCATGGAGAAACCATTCACACAACAAATTGTCTTGATAGTGAAGATCAGGGAATCCTACGGTTTCGATTACACCATTTTGTCCTGTCACTGTTCCACCACACGGAGCTGCAAAGAGAATGACTTTTTAGTCATCATTTTACCATAGAGTAACCCTTGTGGAACTAAACTCTCTCCCTCAGGTCTTGGTAGGGCAATGCTAAGTAGGTTAGGTACCTGACTGGGGATAACGTACTGGGGATTGTCTTCTAGATTCTAAATCTTCCTCTGTCTTCTAATTTTACCAATCCTGGTTTTTTTTCTTTTCCTTCCACAAATACCTGTTGGTTTTGTTTAAATTTAAATACTATGGAAGCTGTTTAAGTTTTTCACTGATCTATTCTCTAGCAAAGATAAGCTCAAGTTACACATTGGGCTTGATTCTCATTTATAGAAAGGTCCAATTCTAGTACATGGGCAATGTAAACGAGAACTGGGCCCTTTGGATCATGATTCAGATATTCCAAAATGTAGGAGTTTTTGGATCTGGAATTTTGTGTTGGACAATTACAAAGATAATTGTCAACTGGGTTGTGGTTTGGATCTGGATCCCTGATTCAAATACCTCTCTAGATTTAACTAGATGGTAATATATTTTACCTAAATAGTAATATAGCATGGGTGATTTTTTGGTTTGGTTTTAATTTTCACAGTTTAAAAGCAGAACTGTGTATTTCTTGTTCATTTCCAACTTCTCTCATTTTCATGCCTTTCTGTATGCCCCTAATAATGGAATCACTTCCCAGTTCACAAAGCTACTATACTCTTTTTACTTAGAGTGCATCTTTCCTGAAAAAGTATTTCTTTCATAAGCTCATAATATTAATGTTTTAAAAAATAAATTAGGAATATATTGGACTTCCCACTGCATTCTGTATGCCTGTTAGTTAAAGTATAAACTTCTCAAGAAAGAGGCTATATTTAATTTGTGCCCTGTACAGCTATGTAAACAGCGCTGGCTCTAAAATGATTAATAAGTTAGTCCAATTTGGTTTGTAGGCAGTTGTAACATGGAGACTTTTTCTGAATAAATATAATTTATGCCTTACTGTTAATTAGTATTTTCTTACAGTGGGAGCAGCTTCAATTGTCCAAACATATATTTGCACAACTGATGTGTTTTTATGGTTCAGATTTAAAATCTAATCAATACAATCTTGTTTAAAACAACACTGCATTAGTTTTCCACAAAAATATATAGAACAAAGAACTCAAAGTCTTTTGAATAAGAAGGAACAACATAATAAACATAGTTCTCTGAAGATTACTGATAACATTAAAATGTGAAATCCTTTTACATCTCTAGTGTACCTGACCCAAGAGTATTTCAACTCTTTGTTGGTGTTTCTAATCCCAGCCTGGCATCTTGAAAATATTATTTTAAAATTTATTATTTAATTTTCCAGCTGACAAATATTGGTTCTCCTCTTTTTGGCCTTATCCCATTCCTTTGATTTGCTGTCTCTTTGATGGTCTATGAGTACTGTTAATACAACTGATAATGACATTTGCACCAAGGCACCACTAGTTTCCCTCATAACCTCCTGTTGTTGTTGGTCTTTTCTTCATACTCCTTGTTACATAAGTTATGGTCATTTTATACACATGATACCAAATCATATTACAAGGCTTTATCTACAAAAACTGCATTTCTAGTAATGCAAACGGTGACTATACACTAGTGCTAACGCCATTCTTTGAAGCATTTGGCCCCTTTACTGTTGGCTCTCCAATTCCTGCAATTTGTATTTTATGGTTGACAAGTCTTTGTTTCCCCCTTAGTAATTCTATCAGGACTTTCATATTCTGATAAACCTACCTATCACCAGTAAATAATATATTATAATTAATTGATATGATGTTTCTGGCATCTTGAATTAAAAAGTAATGGAAAGAGACAAAACCTTCTGTCACTTCATCTTTTGGATGAAATGAAGGACTAATGCTAAATCCATTATAACTCTTCTGTCTCTTCCATAGCCTAAGATCAGTGAAAATGTAAAGTTATGAACTGCGTAGGTCATACCTCTTGAGTACTTAACATTGAATCCAATGTGTGTGGCACCATTGTCAGTTCTGAATTTCATGTACATGACACCACCTGAAGACCTTTGAATGCCTGGCAGAGAGCTTCCACACAGTTTTGCAATCATTGGTGCATTGCTGTCAGCTCCATTGCGTAGCTCAAGGTAACTAAGACTACAGCTAACACAAGAAAAAAAAAATAGTTTTTTTTTTTAAAGAATTTAAAACATTTCAGTAAACTCCTGAAACCTAGTCAGAAAACTTCAGATCAGTTTCTCTGCAATATGACCTAGGGAGAAGGCATACTGAGAGAGCAAGACAAGTTTAAAATTGGTGATAGTCCTCTAGGGTTTGAATCAATGATATGTGTTGGAAATATCTAAATAGATCACAATACCACTCCAAGCCCAACATACAGACTGACAGTTTCTGACATGAATTATTTGAAATGGCTATTAACAACAACAAAAAAATTTGAAATAATTGAATAAGCATAAAGTGCACAGCTTTAAAACAGTTAACCATTAAATTCTTATTTTAAAGTACGCTCCCTGCTAAGCTTCATCTGTCACTGTCAGAATAGCAACAGAACCTATTAGAGGGATCCAGAAATGTTCAGAACTAGAAATAACGGTGGACCTGAGTATGCCTGTGTGTAAGGACCATAAACAATTTCTAAATACAAGATAACATTATCTGTGAAGTGTAAGCAGCTCTTCTGTATAGGCATGTATATACAGGGCAAGAGTAGCATGTAATGGCACAGACAGAAGTCCACCTCCCTGGTCTAACTCATGGCACTCCACAGAAAGTGTTGAGTTAGACTGGTCCTCCTGACCCAACAGACATTAGACAGGAGGCATGACTGTGGAACTGCAAATCATATCCCATCACACCTTATTGCTGGTACAGGTGGAGCCTAATCCCAGGTTCCCCCTGCACCAGCAAGAAGTAAACTCCCACAGCTGGGAGCTTCATCAGCTGACAGGTTTCCCAGCCAAGGGAACATCCCATGTACCCTAAGGCTGGAAGACCATAGCTGCTGCAGTCTTCTAGCTAGAGGGGCACAGGCTACACGTGCAAATTAAAGCTGGATAGAAAACAACTATAAAAGTTATTACACATTTTTCAGCAATAACTTTTTAGCTGGTTGGACCTTTTAAATTTGCATGTGTAACCAGTCTAAATTGAGCACTTAACCAAGTAATTGTGTGATAGATGTAAGATGTAGAGGGGACCTTATATTTAATCGCTGTCAGGTGTTATGGAACATATACAAAAACTTGGGAAGTCCAATCACTTCTCTCAAGAATTTCCTAGGTATCTTACCTCTAAATGTGGAAGTGTATTCTACTGAGGAATTATGGAGCATAATGCTTTTATAATTGGAAAAGAAAAATCAAAATAGAGTGCTTTAGGGACCACAAGAAAAAAACAAATGTAGATATATACTTTGGTGAAGGTTCAATGTAAAACTGATCTTCAAACCGGAGCTCCACTGCCTGTCCATTAGGAGTCGTTATAGTCCAGATGCAGTCAGCATGCTGTGGATAGTTGTTAGGATAACTGGGGGAAGATACATATCCAGTGGGGTTGGAGTCACTGATATAGATATTCCCTCCACATGCTGAGAAAGAAAAAGTTAACAATATGTTAAGGAAATGGGTAAGATTTTAAAAACAAATGAATCATATATATATACTCAATCACAGTTTTCTTTCAGTGAATTGTGTTCACCTCATGAACAAATGCATTTTCATTTTTGCTATTGAACCATATTCAAGCACAGTTTAACCCTTATTTTGTATACAGGCAGACCTCGACTTACAAAATTTATAAATTGACACCCTGTTCCAACTTTCTGACATCAGTTTCTACTTTACAATGCTTGATCAGATATGATGCCACACCAGTGAACAAGTCGCTGTGTCACCCATCTTCCTGGAGAACATCTCTCCAAACTTCCTTGGACACTTTCTTTAAGAAAGCAGACAAGACTCCAGAAAAACCTTCAGCCAAGACTCCTGAGAAGAATCCAGCCAAGAAGCCTTCAAAAAGTCCAACCAAAAGCCCTTCAAAAAGTCCAGCAAAGTCACTCAAAGAAGTCCTTCCAAATCAATATGATTGCTATTTACAGTATAAATACATTAATGTAGCTATATTACGCCTCTATAATTGATTGAGTACAAAATTTTGGGCTATTTTTGGTGAAAATAGGGTATTGGGCCTTGGTTCAGGAACCAATCCCCCATTTATAACATTGTTTCCTATGGGAAAATTGGTTCCGAGTTACAACGCTTCGACTTAAGACGCCATTTTCAGGAACCAATGATGTCGTAAGTCCGAGGACTGCCTGCATTGCCAAAGGTTAAGCAAAGGTCTCCACAATTGTCTGATGGAAGCTGTAGTTCTCTTAAGCTCTGTAGAAGAGAAGTCTCATGTTTGTTCTTGCCAACATTGTAAGATGGAAAGCTGAAGTTAAGGATCAGTTGTTTTAATGCTTGTGGGAAACACTCTTAATTCTGTGACCATAAAATTGAGATGTAAAATCAAGGTAATATTAAGTGAGATATGGCATTCTGAGGAAGCTCAAGAATTTGCTCAGAATCTTTACCATATCACAATATCTTTATTTAGGAGGTTTTTGATTAAAATGAGTTTTCACAATGCTAATCAGCACAGAAATTCAGTCAGGCTCTGTAAAGTAAAATACTAGCAATAATACTACATCACTTCATCAATTTAAAATAAAACCTAAAGTAATATTAATTATTATTGATGGCATTTCAAATTGAAAGAGTAGGAAGAAAAAGAGCTGTACAGACATGAGAAAATTGATAGGTTGTCCTAACTGTATTTAATCAGCACCAATTGAATGAGGATTCAAAATGCCCTAAGGGATGTGGGTTTGTCGTGAATACACTGAAATAGCTGCAGATGCCAAGTCCATGGTTTACACCAAGATCTGGCCTTCTACCTTTTTGTTCTTTTAAAAATGTAATTTTCTGTAGAGGATATCTTCTTGGCAAAGGAAGCAACTTTGTGGACTGTTATAATTCTTTTAAATATACTGGGCCAAATTTGTTCTTTCTGTAATTCAGCATTTTCACCATGTGGAAATCAAACCAGGTTTTCATTTCCAATTTGCTTTCTTTCACTCTATTAACTGTTGAAGCCTACACCTAACAGATTTATCCAACTTCTCTTGTTTCCTCATATGCAGGAATTAGATACTCTAGTTAAGGGATACTAGAGCTATTCCAAGGGGGGAAAGTGCCTTATTAGCATATAGAGAACTCACAGGCAGTGGGTATGTACAAATCATCCACAGAAAGGATCATCCACAGAAAAGTGGCATTTTTGCAGGTGTCACTTTTAAGAACTATGCTTCTGAAAGAGCAATTTCTAAGTCAATTCATTAATTTATACAACTTCTATTTGATTCTGACACTCACCCATATTCTTAGCCTCATACTTCAGTTTGAACCCTTGGCCCTCATTGTTGCCGTCAGAAATGAAGCGGACAAACAGCTGATTTTCTGTGGTGTACATAGTAGAAAAGGGACTGCTACCACAGATCTGTCCATTCCCTCCTGTGGTCCCCAGTGGTGGGGCAGAGTCATCCATTCCATTTTTAAGCTAGAAAAAGGAAATAGTTTAGGTTATTCAAGCATAAAGCTCTACAGTATAATCCTTGAAGAAAGATCAAATAAAAATGAAAATAATTCCAGTGTTTCAACCCTTAGAAAGGAATTTCCTTTTAATACACAGTATCACTAAATAATGTTTCACACACATACACACACACACACACACAAGAGGAGGACAATTCTAAACACATTTTCTCTCTTGCCTTGGCATATCCTTTCTTAGAGACCAAGATAAAACATACAGATTGTCTCACCTCAACATAGTCCCCATGGCTGCAAGAAGCATCCTCACCCTGAACCTGGAATGGCTGTTCAAAATTCACAGCAATGATGAATCCGGTGGTTACCAAGACATGCCAGGAACAATTGAGGTTAGGCACATAGGTTTGGGGATAGTTGGGGGATGTGATCACACCCCTGTCTGCATGCAAATAGCCACCACAACCTGAATAAAAGGAAGGGATATAAATAAGAAAAAACATTTAAAGCAGTTAAAATAATAATTCACGTTTTTATAAAAAAACAACCCTTCCCTCTTAAAATATTATGTGACTGATAAAACAAATGCTGAGGCAAGAAGAGCTGTGTGGAATGTGCACAGCCCAATTACAGGCCACACATACATGCATGTTATCGAGTGTTCAAGTTGCATGCTGACACAGAAAACAATCTGATGTGAAAACTGGCTCCTTGCCATGATAAATAAAGGAGGAATATAACATGTGTGGTGAATATAGGGAGGTGGTATGGCTGGCCTTATGGTACTTTTCTTCATGCCAGCACCAGTCTTTGGAGCCACTGAAAGCCAAACCAGCCCGATCCAAGGTGCAAAATGGATCTATCTTGTGGCTGCCTTCCTATGACCCTTGTGCGTTGCCTGCCTTGCAAATGCAATTTACATTAGTCTGTATACGTTGTGGGATAACTCTTTGCAAACAGGTAGCAGTAGAAGAGGATTTTCAGAGTAAAGGAGAATCCCACGTATAGTGCTCTTTAAGTCTCTATGGAAAATTAAAATGGTCCAAGGTTCTCATGTGTTATCTATCATGTGTGTGCCCTTTGATTAATTTAATTTAGCCTCCAAGCTGGAGCTTCCGTCTCTTTCATCATCCATCTTTCATCAACTGAGTTTTATTTTCTAGCTATAACCATCTTCGCATTTTTAATATATTATGAAATTCTTAACCACATGGGAACTGTTGTAATGTTTCTTCCTCTACTGAGCATTTTCCATGTCACCTTATTTATATATCAGGACAGTGATACTGCCTGCTTGATTAGTACTTTGTTGTAGCTGATCTCTGAATGAGTGACAAAGTTTAACTAATTGGTGTGAAGAATTTAAGTTACCTATTTTTGAAACACATTATAGGATGCCTAATGCAATGAGATAGGTTTTAGATAGTTATATGAAGCAGTTGTGCTAAAAATATCACCTATAACCACTTCCTTCCTCATCCAATTTGTAGCAGCAAAAGTAGAGTAAAAATGCATTAGTAAAAAATAGAAACCGCTTACTTTTGTGATAAGAAGCATTAAATCCAAATCCAGTGATACTTGCATCAGCAGTAAAATGAATGAACATTGCGTCTCCTGAAGATCTTATTGGCCCAGGAACTTCACGACCACATACCGTGGCCAGTACTGGAGAAAGGCTAGTGTCCCCTAAGGGTGAAAGTAGTATTATCAGCATCAAAAAAATACTCAAATTTGAGATTTTGAAACAGTAATTAATTCCAAATTGTTGGCAGATTCTTATAAAACTTGAGGTCGGCAACCTACGGCCCTTGGGCCAGGTATGACCTGCAAAGGTGTTGGATTAGGTCCACAAAAGTCCAGCTTAGCCAATGGCAGCATGGGGGATTGGGCAGCATGCAGCAATATTAAGCTGCCATTTCCTCTGCAGTCGTCTCTGCTGTTCTCTTGTGGTGCTTTATCCTCACTGGACAGGGCATTAAAGGGCAAGTGCAGGAAGTCTTGAGGGATGGGAGGGGGAAGAGCAGAGAATTGTAGCTTGAGGCAGGGGTTGGGTCAGAAGTTCCAGCCCATGGCAGCAAAAGGTGGTCAACCCCTGTTCTAGACCCTCAACCCTGTGTTGTTGCTCTTCATAGTAACCAGAACACAGTTTCAGCATAAAAGAAGAATATAGTTTTGGAATAGGTTCTTGTGACTGGTGAACTCTCTGTGGATTTCCAGCTGTCCTATGACTGGGTTTCATGCTGTTGGCTAGTACCAACACTAGTTTCTCACCATCTCTGATAACAAGCTTGTCATAGTTGCATGAACTGTGAGATTCTATGTCTAGGGACAGGATGTTGAACTCCACAGTGGACTCTGGAGCTCTGATAAGCCAGACACAGTCAGCAAAATTTCTGTACTTCCTAGGCCAGCCTGGGGAGAAGAGGAACAAAGGGGTTTCTCCTGTTGTTACAATACCACCGCATGCACCTGCAATAAACAAAGGAACACACATTACCAATCCTCATTTTTTTTAAGATTTAAAGGTACTACATTACCATAATTTCCCAAAGACCTACTCAGAAGTAGATGGGGAAGCATGAAGCCACTGATTTCACTCCATGCCTAGAACTATGAAGGCTGACTTTTCTTTATGAGGCAGTGATCTGGGCCTAATTTTCTAATAGAAAAATCTATAGCAGGGTGCACGTGCAGATGATTTGCCCAGGTGGAGCTGACTGAGGCATGAGCTGCACTGGAGTTTATTACAGCACTTTAATGGCACATGTAGACACGCTCTCTGATTCGAAAGCATGTGTATATAAATATTAATAGTCTTGCTAGAGAAGTGCTAGTCATTTAAATAGTGAAGTTAAATAGAAATAAAGCTAAATAAGATTATCTTCCCTCCCCATTCCAGAACTTTCAAGTGTGGATTTAGAAGTGTATTAGGAGTAAGTTAATCTGAACTGTCCTCTTTAACTTGCCAAAACAAACAAACAAGCAAACAAAAACATTTTCTTTTCCCTTGCAACATAAATAAATATTTATAGTGAAACTTTTCCCCTTTATTTCTGGGATACTTTGCATTAAATCTTCATCTAAGAGTTTCTACACTGTGGGTGCATCTACATGGCACCTGATAGCAACATAGCAACACACTACGTTGCCGTCATGGCACACTACAGCGACATAGCTATCCTGTGGGTCTACATGTGATTGCCAACTATGTTGCCATAGCAGCACACTCCCTGGTTAGAGTACACTGCTATGGTGACGTAATGGTGAAATCAGCGCAGTAGCCCCCATACTGCACTGTGCCTTAGTACTTCCACAAGGCATGGTGCCTCCTTACTCCAAAAGGAAGTACTAAGCCTGGTGCCATAGCAACATTGCTGTGCGGTGATGTGCAGACGCACCCTGTATGATACAGCTTTTTAGTCATCTTTGTGGAAGTGACAAGTCCTTCAAGAATGCTATTTTAAAGGGTAGGCATGCAAAATATTTGGCTCTCATGAAATGCCAAAATGAGGAAAGATTTTTTACTTCGTCTCCCATCAAAGCTGAAGCTTCAATTTCATATATATGAAAGGGACACCAATATGAATCAACAAAAACGATGATGATTATTAATACTGTTTGTCCTTCACACCACACACTTTAAAAGAAAGAGATTTTAAATGCATTCACTTTAACAAACTAATCAATGATGCCATTTTCAGAGACAAACCTCTAACAACATGGTGTGGAGTTGCTGTAGAAGCTTCCATGGCATGCCACTCCAAAAGGAAGCCCTTTCCATTCACGGAGTAGTCTGACTGGAACTGGAGTGTGATAGAACTGCCAGAGGAAGTGAAAGACGAAGGGACTACCCCACAGTATGTTGAAAGAGGTCGTGAGTGGATGCTGGGCCCATCATAGACCTATAAGGTGAAAAAGAATTGTTACTCTTATTCAGGGTTTAAATTTGAGCCTTTGGTGTCATTTAATGCCAGTAATAATAAAAATCAAATCACCACAAACTATGCAATCTGACTACAAAGCTCTTAAGGCTGCAGCATTATGGCCAGAACTCCTGAGGAGAAAATTCCTATATCCAGTGAATCAGAAAGAACGGGAACTTCAGCCCAATTCCAGTTAAGGATAATACTGGTGACAATTAAAATTAAAACCTCTTTTCTGATTCACCCTGTTCATGCTTTCCCACCAGAATAATCTGAACTAAAGCCATCAAACTAATTTTCAGTCAGAGACTGTTCTTCAAGGACATTAACTGGGTTTTCATTTAACAAGAGCCATTAGCATAATTCTTTTCTTTTCTGAGGGAAAGAAACAATAAATAACAGTGAAAAATTGTTCCTGAGGCTTTCTCTGTAGATCAACATAATTATTTTAATTAGCATTTTGCAAGCCAAAAACCTCTGAATGTTACAGACACTTTTGTTCTGCTAGCATTCAAAACCAATTATGTGACCCCCAAAATAAACAGGAAAACATAAAAACAGAGAAAGATTATGAACATTTCTAAATTGGACATTACATGATCACATGGTATCAATGAGCAGAGCTTTTAGTTAGTAGCCAAGGCGACAGATGTTTGCTGAAGACCTATGCCAATGATTTAAATGAGACACATGTTAGCTTTTAAGACAGAGGGAATTTGAGAGGAAAGTAACGTGTCCATGTTACAATCAAAGGTCTGTCCTGCTCAGGTGATTAAGGCACACCATTTTATGTAGTCAGAGCCATACCACAGAGTAATGTGGCTAGCCTCATGTCCAACCCCCTCTGACTCCTTAGCCTGAATGACTAAATAACTATTTACAACCAGGTTAATTGTGGGGAGCCTTCAACTTGAGCTCACAGTAAGTCTTAAACTCATAGGGTGCCTGTAAACATGCGGGATGTCTGCTCTGATGCACTGTAATTAGCTGGAGCATGCTAATTAGCATGCTCCAGCCAGCCTCTGCATCTCATGTACCAGTGTCCCATGCTTCAAAATGGTGGCGGGGCACTTTAAGCGCGTTTGACGAATTTTAGTTAAAGCACCCCCACAGCCATTTAAGTGTGGGAACACTGATACACAATATGCTGTGGGCATTTTAATGAGAGTGGCTCTCAGAGCCAGCCTAACTAAAGCACCCCCTCCCACTCCCAGAGCATATGTAAAAATATATATAAAGAGAGAGAGGGAGAGAGCGAGCTGTAGCAGAATACTTTAGCCATGCTACCAACACAATCCTCTGTGTAACTGTACTTTTTGTAAAGGGGTTTACATGAAAGGCCAGTTCCTAGGTTAACTGGTAGAAAAATAAATTCTGAAAAAAGGAATTATACTTATCTTGGTTTAGAGAAAGAATCAAAGCAAAGAAATGGGATGCCTGTTTATGTTCTTGTTATCACTTAGTCTTCTTTGTACTTTTGTTTTGCCCTATTTTTATTTAGGAAAACTAAATTCAAACCATTCCTACCTCACTGGTTTTATCTATAGTTTGACCCTCCCTTTAACCTGCGGCATCTTCCAGAGTCTGTAGCTCTATGATTGGCCTTCTTAACCATCAACACACTCATATACAATCTTTTACTTGACCCATGGTGGTGATCATCCCCGACCATGAGGGATCTTTGATGACCTCACTAGACTTATATCAAGGAGGCATTTGGCCTCAACAGCTTGAAAAACAGCTAAAGGCTAGACTGTGTTGTATAGCCATGCAGAGGAGTAATGGGGCCAGCACAGTTATCTCTTTAGAGCACCGACATTTTTTTTCTAAAGACTACACTTGAACCAAGGTCTCAAACCTGTAGTATATTCAGGTTTGAGGCCTTACATGCCTAAAAGGCAGGCATTTAAATCTACATTAGGCACCTAAATAAAGACAGCTTTATTTCACCACTACACTTTAGCACTGGAACTTTGAGAACTCAGAATGTCTGAAAAAGAAGCTATACCTTACTATAAATTGTCTTTACAATTCTCTGTCATCCTATAAAATGCTTCAGAGTCCCAGTTGGGCCACACTAGCATTAGTGAGTAAAAATGCATTTCACATTTCTTACAGGAGTGGGGCAGGGCATAACCTTTTTAGCACATGGGCCACAAATTAGTCCCGCACCCTCCCCGAGTGCCAGTCTGATCCCCTTCTGCTCCATCTGCTGCTCCACTTTATGCTCCCTCCTCTGTGCTCCTTGCCCAATCTCTGCTTTCTGTTTCGTTGCCTGCATCCCCTGCCTAGTTTCCTGCTCTGCTTTCTGTTTCTTGCCCTATCTGCTGTTGTGCTGCCAGTCCTCTGCCTGTTCTACAGCATGCCACACACAGAGGCTACCCATGTCACTTGTGGCACTCATCCTGCAGGTTGGCTGCACTTGTCCTAGAGCAGGGATGGCCATCCTGCGGCTCCAGAGCCACATGTGGCTCTTCAGAAGTTAATATCTCCTTGAATCTTTGCACAAGTGCACAGTGACCAGCTTCCAAATGGATAAGTAAATGGAAGCTAGTCACCGTGTGTTTGTGCAAAGATTAGAGGAGATGTATATTAACTTCTGAAGAGCTGCATGTGGCTCCGGAGCAGCAGGTCCTAGAGCAATTGATTGTTGAAAAGTACCGTGAAAAACGAATGGTCTAAACTGGACCACCAGAAAGACTCCCTGCTTTTCAGTTCACATACTTTGTTCACTATTTTGATGACAATTTATGAAAATGATCATAGGAATCTACCAAAGTAAACTCACCTTTAATTTATCGTAATTGCAGTTATGATGATCTTCAATGTCCATCTCTACAACCTGACCTCGGATTACTTGAGAAGCATTCACCATTATCTTCCACTCATAATTGGCATTGTGTGGATAATTTCTGGGCCACAGTGGAGAAGCAATTTGCCCACTATTTCCTACAATATCATTTCCATATACTGCAAAACAGAAGAGATATTACTCACAGCAACACTTTTCATATCATTGGCTGGCTGCTTGTAAAGAGCAAACTAGGCAAACAAGGTTGAGGTTTCACTATGACCATCAAGCTATAACTAAGGACCTACTTAAATCACAGTTCTGCAATTTTCACAGAAACTGCAAAAATGACAATTTCCATGATCACTGTGAAAAATGATGTTTCCTGTGATTTTGCACAGACTCACCCCAAAATAATAAAATCTTACCAAAATACAAGGAAAGCATGGCAATTTCTGCAGTCATAGAGCCATGGTTCGAAAGAGTGAGAGAGCTACTGGGTGGCTGAGTGTCACAGGGTCACTCAGGTGCCCTGTGCCTGAGAAGGAATAAGGGAAGCTGAGGTGCCGGTTGCTGGGGCAACCGCATGGGTCAGGTGACCAAAAAGGGGGCAGGGCCTGCCCTTTATAAGCAGGCCAGGCCGCAGCCTAGCTGGCAGTTCCCTTCTGGCAGCCTGAGGAGCAGGAACCCTGCAACAGTGCCGAGCAGAGCGGCCTGTTCACCTGAGCGGTTACAACATGGTACAGGGTGAAGGAAACCTTGACCGGGAGGCTTTGCAAGAGAGCCAGGTGGGCCTAGATCATACGTTATA